GAAAGAAAGAAAGAAAGAAAGAAAGAAAGAAAGAAAGAAAGAAAGAAAGAAAGAAAGAAAGAAAGAAAGAAAGAAAGAAAAAGAGAAAGAAAGGAAAAAAGAAAAGGAAAGGGATATAGTCATAGAAAAAATGAATAGTTTATAAAATAAAATCTTTAAAGAGAGAGTAAAACAAAAAGCCATGTAAGATGGGAGATACACAGGTTGTCTGGATCCTGTATGTTATTGTGTTGATTTAGAATTTTTTGATTCTTGAAAAGCAAAGGACAGCTACAAAGAGACCTGGAACTGAAAGAGGGTACTATTGAAATGAATCAGCTTATATACTTTAGGAATGCCTTAACTTTTAAGAAGTCAAAATATATATTTGTCAAATGGAAATCAAAAATGCTTTGGAGTTTTGTTTCCACAGGAGATGAGAGGCTGTGAATTCCTTCAGGATTAATATAGATCAGGTTTGATCAGGAGAGACCTCCTGAAACTTGACAGGTGATATCTATCAGCAAAGGTTACTGTTGGTCTTCCCAGGACTTGTCATTATCTCAAAATTTTCTCTCTGGGATCCTAAAGATACTTCATCCACAGACAGCAGGAAGCAATGTGGTGGTATTGTATTTCCCAAAATATTGTGCACCCTAATAAACTTATCTGGGGTCAGAGAACATAACAGCCACAATATTAAACATAGAGGATAGGCAGTGGTAGCACATGCCTTTAATCTTAGCATTCCAGAGGCAGAAATCCATGTGTTCAAGGACACAGCCAGGCATGGTGACACATGCCTTTAATCCCAAGAAGTGAGCCTTTTATCCCAGGGAGTGATGACAGATAGCAGAAAGGTATATAAGGCATGAAGACCAGGAACTAGAAGCATTTGGCTGGTTAAGCTTTCAGGCTTTTGAGCAGCAATTCAGCTGAGATTCATTTGGGTAAGACTCAGAGGCTTCCAGTCTGAGGAAACAGGATCAGCTGAGGAACTGGCAAGGTGAGGTGGCTGTGGTTTGTTCTGCTTCTCTGATTTTCCAGCACTCACCCCAATACCTGGCTTCGGGTTTGATTTTATTAATAACACCTTCTAAGATTCCTGCTACAAAGCAGAATGGCAAAAACTATGCCCACATTCCCAAGAGTTAGGGTTTGTGGGTGGTTTTGGTTATTTGGTGAGTTATGGATGTTTGTTATCATTTAGGGGAATATAGACTATTGATACAAATTTTAAGTTATTTTTGTTACACTGTATATATGTTTCTACTCTTGTTTAAAGGGTTTTTGTATATTGATAAAAATTTAAGGTTATTTTTGTTACAATATATTGTATATATGTGTCTCTACTCTTGCTTAAGGTATTGTACCTATGCAGTTCATTTAAAAATGTAAGGTATGGTTGGAGAGATAGCTCAGAGGTTAAGAACACTGGCTGCTCTTTCAGAGGTCCTGAGTTCAATTCCCAGTGCCCATATGATGGCTCACAACCATCTGCAATGAGATCTGATGCCCTCTTCTAAATAAATAAATAAATCTTTAAAGATAGATAGATAGATAGATAGATAGATAGATAGATAGATAGATAGATAGATAGATAGATAGAATGTAAGGTAAAGTTCTAGTTTTTGAAAGCTATTATTATAAACTATATAGGACTATCAAGAAACATAGGTCAGTAGTTAGTCATTTCTAACAATCAAGACTGTAGATAGGTTAGGTATGTTTCTAGGTTAAGGAGATATATTTTAGATAGATAGATGGTCTTCAAACCTTTCAAAGACATATAGAATATGGCATTTATAATATTACATCCTTCTGGATCTTTGATGGAGTTGAAGACTAAATAGTTATAGTTATAGTTTTCCTTAGTGATGATAGAAAGTAAGTTAGGTGTAAAACTTTGGAGTCACTAAGATAGGATAGATAATGCATTATTTTCCTTGAATATGCCAACTACAAATGGACAGAATGTTGTAAATGCAATTCCTACTTGATCATTGTTTGTGTTGTTCGTAGTTTTACTGTGTTAAAGTTAAAACCTTTATTTTTACTTAGACAAAAATGAGAAAATATAGTAGAATATTTTAAGGTATGTTACTTTTGTTTATGTTGCATTTGTTTAACTCTGTGAAGATGTGTTACTGTGCCTAACATACTTGATGATCTAATAAAGAGCTGAATGGCCAATGGCAAGGCAGGAGAAAGGATGGGCGGGGCTGGTAGACAGAGAGTATAACTACAAGGAGAAATCTAGGAAGAGAGGATTTGAAAAGGAGGAACCAGAGAAGGAGGAGGACATCAGGGGCCAGCCACCCAGCTATGCAACCGGCAACGGAATAAGAGTAAGATTTACAGACGTAAGAGAACAGGAAAAGCCCAGAGGCAAGAGGTAGGTGGGATCATTCAAGTTAGGAAGAGCCAGCTAGAAACTATAAGTCAAGCTAAGGCCCCGCATTCATAAGTAATAGTAAGCCTCCATGTGTGGATTTGAGAGCCGGGTGGTGGGGCCCCAAAAAAAGAACAAAAACAATAAGCCTAGGACAACACCAAGTACAGAAAGGATCCAATAGGTCTCGAGGGTGAACTCCGTGATGGGTGGGGAGTGTCAGAATTCCAACTCACAGCTCTGCTTAGCACAGGCATCACAGAAGGGACAGGAAGAATGTGGAGTCAGAGGAAGGGGTAGGGTGCCGTAAAAGGCCGTCTTCCAGGCACCGCACGGCTGCTGAACTCACAGCATCTGTAATTCAACACCTAGCCAAAATTGGACCTATCCACATCCTGTCGTGAAGATTTGAGGACTCACGAGGACCCCACTCCTTCCTGAGTATCTACTGGCCATGAATGGCTTCTGGAGAAGGAAGAGACGTTAGCGGAGGTGTAGCTATGGGTAAGGTGAGCATGCTCTGAAAACCCCTCACCCATACTCCTGTAAGCAGCTCCAGTGAAACTCATTAGGTCGCATCCCACCCCACCCCACCCCCCAAAAAAGTCATGAAAAGTAGACGAGGGGCTAGTTGAGAAAAGGGAGGTAATTAGTGGGGGTGGGAAGGGGACAAGAGAGGATAATGGGAATGAATACGATCAAAGAACATTATACACAAAAAATGTTGTAATGAATCCCATTACTACACAATAGTTAATATATACTAATAAAAACTTTTTAAAAGAACAAAACTTGCCAGCCTCGAAAGATTCAATGGTGACTTTCAAAAGATTTTCTTTTTCAAACTAAAACTGCGTTTCTCAAACTGACAATGGAAGTGTGATGGGAAATGCCGCCAGGCAACAGACCATAGAGAGGGAGGTAGCCTGGAGGACAGCTGGAGAAAGCGCAAATCGGAGGTTAAAAATAGGCTTGGCTACATCAGAACCACAGTGAGTGAATGTGAATTAAGTTTGCCTTTTCAACAGAGATTTCCATGGGGAATTTAAATAGCAAGCCCACATCTAAATCAGGCACATACAGCGTCCTTGGCGCGGGTGAACTAGCAGAGGGCCACTTCCACAGCTCTGGAGGCTGGACGCCTCGGGCCGACTGCTCTACCCCAGCTGGCTGGTAAGCAGCTACCTGCTCCCTGTGTCCCCACATAGTGGAGGAAAGAACTCTTGCAGCCTTTCTTCCTATAAGGGCAGTAATCCCACCCCAGGGCTGCATACCCACGTCTCCATCATCGTCTCCATCATCATCTCCATCATCGTCTCCATCATCATCTCCAGAGCGGGTCCCCATTCCCCCAAACACTGCAGCTCTAGGTCATGGCTGGCCCTCTATGGTCAGAAATGCTGACCTAGAACTAGAATGTTCAAATCAGGACTGTTCTGGGAAAAAAAAAATCTAGACATGATTGAAGTCGATTTGCAAGGTGTGGGATGACCATACAGTGGGTTGGGTGTTTGGCTTGGTGTCCTGGTTAGGTTGCTGTTTGTTTGTCTGTCTGTTTTTGTCAACTTGACACAAGATAAAGTTATCTGGGAAAAGAATTCAGTTGAGGAAATACCTCCATCAATTTCTTTGTAGACAAGGAATCAATGTTTGTGATTAGTGATTGATGTGGGAAGGCCCAGCTCACTGTGGGTGATGCCACCCCTGGGTAGGTAATCCTGGGTACTATAAGAAAATAAACTGAGCAGGCCAGGAGAAGCAAGCCAGTAAGTATTCCACTATGGTTTCTGTGTAGTTCTTGCCTGCTGGTTCCAGCTTTGAGTTCCTGCCCTCAGTGCTGGACTGTAGCCTGGGAGTTTTAAGATGAATTAAACTCTTTCCCACTTAAGTTTGGTCATGGTGTTTTATCATAGCAACAGAAACCCTAACAAAGATATTTGGCTTGATTTGGCTTGTTTCTGTTTGGAACAGGGTCTTACTGAATAGCCCAGACTGCCATTAAATTCATGATCTCTGCCATAGCCTACCTGGTGTTGGAATTGTTGGCATGTGCCATATATCTGGCCCACATGGTAGATTTTGGATGGTGGCTGGCTGGTTGGTTGGTTGGTTGGTTGATCGGTCAGTTAGTTTAAGACAAGATCTCATTATGTAGCCCTGGCTGGACAACTCACTAGGTAGCCTGGCCTGGCCTCAATCCACAGAGGTCCTCCTGCCTCTGCCTCCTGAGTACTGGGATTGCAGGCATGTGCCACCACACTTAGAGCAAGATAGATTTTTTTTTCCCCCAGAGTTGAGGACTGAACCCAGGGCCTTGCACTTGCTAGGCAAGTGCTCTACCACTGAGCTAAATCCCCAACCCCACAAGATAGATTTTTAACTGATGCTCAGAATAAACAAAATGCCACAATATGGAAACTCTTAATAAAATACGTATTAAAAAGTAAGTCACAGGGGATTTTGTAAAACTGAAAAAATAAACATTTCATGATTGTGTGCAGATTCAATAAAAGCAGTCAAGCATTGTGGCACACATCCCTAATTCCACTTCAGGCAGCAGATGCAGGGAAATTGCTGCAAGTCGGGTCCAGCCAAGGGTATAGAGTGGGGCCCTCCCTCCCTCAAAAATTACAAATTAAAAATAAGTTGGTAAATTGTATAGAAAGAAAACCCGTGGGGCCCCGGGTGCTCGGGAGTGGAGTGGGGAGGGCTCTTCACACAGGCTCAGCTCGTGTTTGGGGCGCTGGGTAGGAGGTCAAGTGCCTGCTAAGTGATGAAAAGCAGCACATTAAGTGCACAAAGCAACCTGCCCGCCACAGCCCCAAGGATGATGGCGCCTCCTGTTATTTGCACCTAAGATCCATTTAAGCAAGGAGTGGTTATCTATATAAGCCCTATAACCCCAGCATGGGGAGGCTGAAGCAGGAGAGCATCCAAGTCAAGGACAGCCAGGGATAAATAGCAAGATCCTGTCTTAAACAATAGCCCAAAAAAAAAAAAATCCATTTAAAGAAAAGAAAAAATACAAAGTTCCTTCAAGCCCCTTTTAAAAAAAAAAAAAAATGAGCTCCGCAGTGGCGGTGCATACTGTTAATCCCAGCACTCAAGAGGCAGAGGTAGGCGGATCTCTATGGGTTCAAGGCCAGCCTGGTCTACAGAGTGAGTCCCAGGATAGCCAAGGCTACCCAGAGAAACCTTGTCTCAAAAAACAAAAACAGCAGTGGGACCAAGTCCTGTGCTCATTGCATGAGTTGGCTGTTTGAAACCTGGAGCTTATGCAGAGACACTTGGCTCAGTCTGAGTGGAGGGGACTGGACCTGCCTGGACTGAGTCTACCAGGTTGATCGCAGTCCTCGGGGGAGGATTTGCCCTGGAGGAGGTGGGAATGGGGGGTGGGCTGCAGGTAAGGGGAGGGGGTGGGAGGGGGGAGAATAGGGGAACCCGTGGCTGATATGTAGAACTGAATGGTATTGTAAAATAAAATAAAGGAATAATAATAATGGAATAAATAGGAAAACGGAATTGGAAAGGAATCCACAGAGAAGGGATATTCAAAAAGAGAGAGAGAGAGAGACACTCTGCCCCACAAATAGTCAGGGAAAGGATGATGAATCCAGACAGCAGAGCTTGGCTGGCAGCCACTGATATGACTCTGCCAAGGCCAGGCAGAGGTGAGAATCTGAGCGTTGAGAACTTGGTCAAAGTGAGGATTGAAAAGACCAAGTCAGCAGGGCCCGGCAGCCTGTGCTTTCAGAAGCTGCCTGATGAGCCCTGTTCTTTGCTACTCCTGGTCACAGGACACCCAAAAAGTAAACCCTTGCCCTGCTCCCCACCTGAGTGTAGCGCACATCTAAGTTCTGGACAACAGAGATATTATGGTTTGAATATGAAATGTCCTGCAGAGGATCATGTGGAAAGGCGTGGTTGGCCGCTGATGGACTTTGGGAAGTGGTTGACTCCTGAGGGCTCTGACCTCACAGATGAAGTATTTACAGTTTGACACTGGGAGGTGGAGCCTATTTGAAGGATGTAGGTCTTTGAAGGGGTCTCCATCCACACACACCTGCCGGGCTGCCATAAAGTGAGTACCCTCCTCCACCACACACTCCTGCTGTCCTGACGTTGTCTTCCCTTAGGCCCCAAACAATGGAGCCACCTATAGACTAAAACCTCTGAGCCTATGAGACAAAGCAATCTTTTCTAAGTTAAGCTGTTTCTGAGATTTGTCTGTGAAGAAAACCTGCCTACCATAGGAGAGTGAGTATGTGTCTAAAGCCAGCCTCCGAGCACCAGGGCCCTTTTCGGCCTCTTGGGCCCTGTCTCTGGCTACAGCCTAAGGCAGCAGCTGGAGTCCTAGAAGCATAACTCATACCAGGGAAAATGAGACAGGGAGGGACTTGGGTCCCAGAAGAAGTGTCAGCCTGGACCACCTGCCCAGACCTGCAGCAAGGAGAACTGAACTTCACAGGCCGAAGCACTCACTCTCTCTCCACGTCCATTTGTACTGCCGCCACACACGCTCCAGGCTGGGAAATGTCTCAACAACCAAAGCTTACCTCTCATGTTTCCAAAAGCTGGAGGTGCAAGGCCAAGGTGACAGGAAGTCATGTGTGGTGAGAGCTGATCTCGCTGCCAAGATGATGCCTGCAGCACCCTCCCACGGGTCATCCAGGGAGAACAATGGTGGACTCCCCCACTTTAAGCCCTTTTATAAGGGCAGAACCTTCAGCTAGGTTGCTTTGGGTTGAAGGGTCAACACAGATTCTGGAAGGGCATGGACTGCCGGGTTGTAGAGCCGCCCTGAGCTTTCTGTCCCAGCGGGGAGTTACATACTCCTTGGCTGTGCTAACCATGCCAAACCCAGCTCAAGTAAGCACAGCGTCCACTCAAATCAACTCTGACACCAGGGGGATCTCAAGAAAACTGGAGTCCTATCACATGGAGGAGGTGGCTTCTGGGCCCCTGTGCTGACTAGTTTTATGTCAACTTGACACAAGCTAAAAATCACCTGAGAGGAGGAGACCTCAACTGAGAAAACACTTTCATAAGACTGGGCATTTTCTTAATTAGTGATTGATGGGGGAGGGACCAGCCCAAGGTGGGTGGTGCCATCCCTGGGCTGCTGGTCCTGGGTTCTGTAACATGGCAGGCTGAGCCAGCCATGAAGAACAAGCCAGTAAGCAGCACCCCTCCACGGTGTCTGCACCAGCTCCTGACTCCGGATTCCTGCCCTGTTTGAGTTCCTGTCCTGACTTCCCTCAGTGATGAACAGTGATGAGTAATAACAAAGCCTGTGCATCTCGATGGGTCCAGAACCAGGTACAGCCCGGCCACCAGGGAATTCCCACCATACCTACAGGTTTGGCACACACCTTCCCCGGTGAGGCTGAGCCACAGAGGTGATAGCCCTCCTTGGCCACCTCTGGTTGAGGAGTCCTTTGCATTTATTTCTCTTCTCTTGTTTTCACAAGTGAAGTTACTCATGTCTTAAGAGGGTAGTTGTCCTCCTCCTCCTCGCTTTATCCTGGGCTATTAGTAAAGGAGTTCCTAGAAGGCAGGGCAAACCATCTAAATGAGGAAAGAGTAGAGAGCTTTTCTGGGGGCCATTGGTTGGTGCCTCTCATAGTTTCTTTGCTCAGAGGAATCTGATCACAGGAAATTTCACCGATTAGGATAAGTGGGCTTGATGTTGATGAATCTGGGTTTTACTGTGAGACCACCATTCTACAGCAGATGTGAGGGTGCTTGAGAGTGGGAGATGGAGGGCCACAGATTCCTCCGTGGTGAGATCAGACTGGCAAGGAGAGTCTGGCCCTTCCCACCGTCACTCCAAATAGTATTAAAATAAGCAAAGGTGGAATGGGCATTCTTAGCATCCCTCCATCCTCAGAGGCTCTAGCTTGGGACCCCAGGCCTGAACTAGCTCCTAGGACAGCCTCTATACCTTCTTGTGGGGCCCCCATGCTTGGTCATGTCTGGGATTTGACCTTGAGGGCCTGCCACAGTGTCACGGTGGCAGAGAAAACACTGATTCCTGGGCTCAAGTTCAGCACCCCATAGCCTGAGGGTCCTTCTTCCTCTTCGCCTGGCCCAAGGGAGACAGTGAGGACCTGGCAGGTGCTGCCCAACACAGACCACCAGAGCGAGCCGGTGACAATACCGCCCTGCAACACTGAGGTCTTGGAGGTTTGCCCTGGCCTTGGCACCCCACAACACAGCCCTCACTGCTGTCTTCACCCCTTACCACAGCCTGACTAGAGAAAGGTAGAGCCAAGAGCCATAATGCATAGAACCCTCTCACCTGCACCAGAAAAGGGCTAAGATAGGGTTATTCTGTGGCTTTGCCAAAAGGAGGAAACACCAGCCCTACCTTTTTTTTTTTAATGGTGCTGAAGATGTAGTTCAGTTGGTAGCGTGATTGCCTATCATGCATAAAGCCCGAGTTTCACACAGCACTGCTTTTAAAAAAGGGTGGTGGGCACAGTGTTTGTGCCTATAACCCCAGCTCTGGGAAGGTAGGGGCGGGAGGATTGGGAGTTCAAGGCCATCATCCTCAGCTTCATAGTGAACTCAAGGCTAGCCTGGGACACATGAGACCCTATCTCAATAAATAAACAAGCAAACGGTGCAAGTCAGGAAGGTGGCACCTATATTCTCAGCCGCTCAGCAGGCAGAGGCAGGACCGTCACTGGAGCCCAGGAGTTTGGAGCCGATCTGTGCAACAACTCAAAAACTAATATTCGGGAAAGCCGAGAGGAGTTCGGTACTTGTTACTCTTACAGAGGACGGAACTTCAGTTCCCAGCGTCTGAGCTGTGGGAACAAGTCTTGAGCACCATGAGGCTAGGCTCCAGGTCTGCAGAACTGTCTAGACTCTGGTTAACATCTCAGATCTTGGAAAGGTCAAGCTCCCTACAGTAATCCACTGTCTCCGGGGGACAGTACATGTTGAGCACACAGGGACATGGGCATGGGTGATTAATGTATCCAGATAGGGGCTTCTCTGACCCTTCAGTGAGTCTTGCCACATAAGTCAGAAACATCACGTGACCTTGCCTGGTAAGAAGTCAACAAGGTGAGCATGCTCTTGATGACATCAGAGATGGGTCGGTCCCCTGGAGCTGTACAGCAGCTGAGGATAGCCCCCACCCCAGGACATAGCCTTGACACCCATTTCTCTTCCTCCACTCCCCACAAATAGTCTGAAGAGCCAGATGTCCATGCTCTTTCCATCCTGACTCTTGCCCAAGCACTCAGGCACATGCAGCAACCCCCTCCTCACCATGCCCTCCAGTGCCCAGCTACCCCTTCTCTCCCCGCTTGGGCCTCCTCCTCTGGACGGCTCTGTCTAAAGTACTCTGGAGGCTTACCCTTTGACCTATGATTTCTTATGCTTCATACAAGCTCAGAATCCCCTTCTAAAACAGGCACAAAATCTACTTCAGCGTCCTCACAGTGAGCATACCTTGAGACTCCATTCCTCCAAAACCTACCTGAGGGCTAGAACCTAGGAAGACTCCTCCATTCCAATTTACCTCACAGGGAGTGGGCCCCCAAGTCTGTTCACTACCCACCTACCTGCCCTTTCAATTATCAACTTCCTTACCCAACACTTCACCTGAGGTATTCAGCGGGGATCCCCACGACTACAACTATCCCCCCCACCTCACACAGTACCTTTTTTAACACTAATCACATGACCCACCACTTACGGCCCTGGGATACTTGCAGTTAGAGGGCCCAAGCCCAAACTTTTTTCCATGTCCTAAGGACCAGCTCTGCCCAATGCCTCTCCCAGATGCCCATCATACCCAGTCCTGTTGAGGCTCTTGGGTCAAGGTCAGCAGCCTAGCGCCAGGATTCATTAACCAAGAATGAATTAATGAGCACAAAGGGATCCTAGCTCCCTTCTCCACTGCATCTGGCCAAACAAGCCACCTCAAGAACTTAAGGAAGGGATGACCAGATGCAAGCAGGTGCAAATGGAAACACAGACAAGAGACTGGACAGATAGGACGGCCCTGGCTTCATCAAGAGCAGGACACAGGCAACAGCCCAGACACTCAGAATTATAGCTCACCTCTTGGGCCTCAGCTATTGTGGTCTCCATCCAAGACCACAGAGCCAAGGACAGCCAGGGTCTGCCCACTGACTGAGGAACTCCTGCAGCCAGCCACATGTGTACTTTCCAGGGCCAGTGTCCTATACCATAGGCCTCTCTAAGCTTGTTGGTGGGTTGCAGTGTCTTGGGAGGGTAGAACCCAGAGCCAAAGCCTTCAGGGTGCTCATCAGGCACTGCATGGGATGCAGTCAGAGGTGGAGACAAGGTCCAGTGTGGAAGGCAAAAAGAGAGGCACTGGCCACCCTCCACCAGGTGAGGGGCATAGCCAGGGGTCATCTCTGTGACCCTCAAGAGAATGGTCTCCAAGGACAGCTGCTTCCAAAACACGTGACTCTCAAAATCCAGTCTCAGAGAAGCAGCTCTCCGGGTAGGGAAGGGACATCCAGAAGGTGGGTACAGTCAGTGCATCCAGAGGTGGGCTCAGGGATGGAGCTACCCTACTGTGCACAGCTGGATCCACACCCCTCTACAAGAAGTCGGACTGGACAGCAGAGCTCCTGCTCTGGATCACAAGGATGTGGATCCTTGCTTCAGGGAGGTGAATGTGAGGATCGGGCAATGCAGTGGACACAGGCCTGGCAGACCATGGGTCTGTATGGCACTGCGGGGGCCAGGCCAGGAAAACATGTAACCATCACCCCTCACAGGTAAGGCCCCTCAAACAGCCTCATCAAGGCCCCTCCCCAGATGCCACGAAGAGACCCTCCTAGGCCCGGGGAATTTAAGCACCACAGATTTGGGGTGGAGGTCTGGGAGAGACCGCCTGCAGACAGACATCAAGGCCTGCGCAGTGGGCCAGGGCACTGCGGGACTGGCCGGTGTCTGGGGCAGGGCCAGGCTGGGGTGACATGAGGCCAGACGGCTCTTCTGGCTGAGGCTGCATGCAGCTTCAACTTGGGAACAAAGCTGGCACCTGATCCCATTGATACCGGCAGTCATGAGCCGGAGTCGCCACAGCCGGAGGGAGTCTGTACAGGAAGGGGCGGAGTATAGGACACTTCTGAACCTGAGCGGGGAAGCGCAGAGACGTGAGGCCTGGACAACTGTGGAGACTGGGGAATTGGGGGGGAGGGGGTCAGGACACCTCAGTAAGGGCAGAGTCTGTGGGGACAGACGCACTGACGAGGGAGAAGAGTGTCTCTGGCACAGGGCCACAATGGACCTCACCCAGGAACTTCTGAGAACTGCCTGAAGAAGAGACCCCAGAAATACCTGTTTGTTCCAGAAGTGCCTGGCTGCCCCGCGGCTGCCAGCACTCACCAGTCTTTGCCACTCTGCCCAGCTCTTAGGCAGGGGACTTGTGAAACAGGAAGAACAGCCAGGCTCTGGGTACAAAACTGTAAACACAAGTCTTTAAAATGACAGAGGCCTCACTGGCCCCAAACTCTGAGCCAGGGGCCCCTACCATAGGTCCAGATCTCCTGGAACACTGCCCTCCCTTCCCACCCTGGCAGCCCAGCAGCAGGCAGGGGTGAGGCATCTCCACTCGGGACCAGGCCTCACCAAACTGCCCCTGTGCATCAAGGTGAGCCAGTGGAGTGGAAGTTGAGGGTCCATGGTCCGAGAGATTCCTGAGATGAAGAAGCAGACGCGGCCCCGGCACCCCAGACACTGCACAGGTACTCACAGCCCCTGTCCCAAATGGGAGCCTGCCCCATCCCATCCCATGCAAACCGCGTGCGCAGCTAGTCCAGCGTCTGTGCGGCCCGCGGGGGCCCTGTCACGTGTCCAACGCATCGCGAGTGGGCGAGGGCCCGTGGGGGCGCACCGGCGGACCATGCAGTGGCGGAGGTGGCGGCACCGAGTTGCGCTGGGAAGGAGGTGGTTGCAGCTCAAGCGCGAGGGCGGGTGGAGGAAAGTCGCGGACCTGGCGGCGGTACTCGAGGAACGTGCAGGCCTTGGTGGCCAGCGCTACCACGTTCTTGCCCACGAAGATGGCGGAGACTCGGCTATCGCGGAAGAGTGCCATGTTGGCGGCACGGGCCAGCACAGCCACCACGTTGACGGTGGCCAGACTGAGCACCGGGTACAGCATCATCTTCTGCGGTGCGATGTGCTCCCCCTGCATGCTGACCTCGCTGAGCGCCACGCAGGGCAGCACCAGCAGCAGCATGTAGCAATAGAAAAAGGTGAGGCCTTCGGCCCACAGAGGCAGCCCGGTGCGCGGCGGCTCCCAGAGGTTGGCCTGCATGTCCAGCAGATCCAGCAGATCCAGAGCCACCCAGAAGAGGCGGCCGCGAAGGTCCTCGCGCTTTCGGAAGGTGCGCACATACTCCATGCGGTCTAGTGCCACAAGCAACAGGAAGAGGCCGGGCACGCACACGGACAGCAGCAGTGTCAGCGCCTTGCGAGCCACCGGGTCGGCCGCCCCACGCCGCGCCGCCTTGTAGTTCTGAAAGATGAAGTAGAGCTTGATCTCCAGCACGAAGATATAGAGGAACCAGAGGATCATAGCGTAGCCACGCTTGGCCGTGCGCACCTCGGCACCCACCCACACGGCCACATAGCGCAGCACCAACAGGAAGCACACATCGCCTACCAACACAATTATGCACACGCCGATCTTGCGCGGGCCCTGATTCTGCTCCACCAGGTATGCGTCCATGACGGCCATACTGCCCATGATCACCAGCGTGGTCAGGCACACGTGGCGCCGGTCCGGAGGCGGCAGCACCATGGTCAGCGGCCCGGGCTCGGCCCTGGCGCGCGCAGTCCCCACGCAAAGCGGGACCAAGTCCTGCTGTGTCCCAGAGAGCAGCGTCCGCGACGCTCAGCCCTCCGGCATGGCGCGGCGCAGCCGGGCGCGGGGGTTTGTCCAGCTGCCCGGAGCGCGCTGCCGCTCCCGGCCGGCGAGCTCGGAACCTGGGAAAGACCAGATACAAGTGAGATTGTGCTGCAGAGTGTCACCGAGGTTGGGGTTGGTAGGGCACACGGCAGCCTTCCCAGGCCTGGCTGTTTCCTGCGCGTGGTGCTGTCCCCACGCCCGGTGCAGGAGGCCTCCTCGGACGCACGCACGCGCCGCTGCTAGCACCCGAGACCTGGAGCCCGGGAACGGGGCCTCCAGAGGGCGCTGAAGCCCCACCTGAGGGACCGATCTCATTCCCGCCACCGCCAGGAAGGAAGAGGAACGGAAGTGGTTCCCCCCTCCCTCCCCCATCCCCACCGCCACTCGCATTCTAAAAGCCCTGATGATTTGTCGCGGCTGGACACCTCCGACTCTCTTGGCTCTGACAGGAGCTTTAGGCCGCTTCTTTGGAGGTTCTGGGCACCCTTTCCTGGTGCTGCGCTGTACTAAGCGCACAAGGAGAATTGGAGACCCAGGTCCCACCCTGGAGACAAGGCACTGAGCAAGTTTTTCGATCCTAGACGGACAGCCATTCAAATCCTGAGAAATGCATCCTACAAGGCCCTCGCACTTTCCTAGGACTTGCACCACCCCCACCCCCCTTCCCTCTCTCCACAACTCAACCTTTCCCTTCCTGAGGCTGTTGAGGACAAAGCAGACCATTATCTTCCCTGACCCACCCCAGCTAGCTGTCGCTCTGGAGAAGTGCTCTCCCTCCTAAGCGCGCCTCCTGCTGTCTCCTTTACCTGAACCAGCACGCCTGCACTTCAGTCCCTCTGACCGGTGGCTTCTGCTGCCTGCTTCCTTCCCTCCACCTTCGGGGCCAACCTCAGGAAAGCTGTCGCAAAACTGTCTCTTCCTCAGTCCCCAGCACTGGCCATCATGTCTGTGGTACCCACGTTGTGGGCACTCACATCCGGGCCTGTTCTTCACCCACCCAGCCGAAAGTCACTTCCAAGCAGGGCTCTCCTCTCCCCTAACACCTGGCACAAGGGTTCTGTTCACTGTCCTGTCTAGACAAAGACATAAAATTTATTGTCACCCGTGACCGTGATGCATTCAACCTGCCTCCTGGTGACACCACAGTCACCTCAAACTCCATGGTCCCTTCCTCCACTCAGCCTTGCCCCTCTATGTGCTCTTTGGGTTCTCACAGCTACACCACAGCTTTAATAATGTGTTGAGGGAGGCATCTGCCCACACCAGGGTTCCAAGGATCCACACACCTGCTTCTCAGGTACACACTCCATTGTCATGCCCACTGGTAAGTACTCCTCTCCCAGGAAGCACAGGCTGGGCCCAGTCCTGACCCACCTGCAACTCCATTGGCTACAGCCAAACACTGAGAATTAATTCCCTTCCTCTTAGCAACTGTCCAGGCCAAATAGGCTCTGACGGCTAACCCTTCCTCCCCGTCATCTGCACGCCATCACTCCTTTGCTCAGTCACTGTCAAATGCCAAAGGCCACCAGCAAAAGGCTTTAAACTAGTAATGGACAGACTCCAACTCCTAGGAGTGCCCCGGCCTCCGGAAGGCCAGAACCCAAGCCTGGGGTCCCCTCCCCCACACTCCGTCCTAGCCATGTTCTCAGAGACCAAGCCCAGGTCCACCTACCCTGGGTTTCTCATGCCAGGCCCAAATGTCCATCCCTACCAAGCCTGCCCACTGCTCAAACATCACACACAGATTCTCGGGGCCTCCAAGCTCTAAAATGCCTGCCTCTCCCTCAGCTTTGCAAGGACCCCCTACTCGCTTGGTACCTCCAAAGGAGAGGCTGAGGCAAACAAGGGTCCTCCCTCCTCGACCCCGGACAGGAGGGTCTAACAGCTCCCAGCAGGTTGTGTCTCAGTTTGTCTCTTCCCACTAAAGGTTTCCCCCAGTGGTGGCTGGGCCTGGTTCCGCCGCCATGCAGCTGCCCCTGCCCATCCCACGGCCTGCAGCCTGGGGGCGGGAACAGCACAGGCCCAGCTAGCTGCCGCTGCAGCCGCCGCCTACCGCCCAGCTCTACCGACCGGCTCAGCCCAGCAGCCCGCCTCCTGCCGCCCCGCCGTTCGCATCCCGCGCCTACCGGGCCGGCCAGATGCAGCGC